TCGTGTTGTAGAATGAGTTCAGGGAATAAACTGTGTTCAGTTAAAATAATCCTCTATGATAGTTGCCTGCTATTGGGATACTATGTGTTTTAACACATCAGCCTCATATGTATATATTTAGCAAACCTTACACAGCTTAAATTTAATACTCAGAATCTTGAATTATTTTTTTAGTTTTCCTCTCATCTCATTATCTTCTTCTTCTTCTTCCTCAGCCTCCTCCTCTGCGTTTGACCTTTAAAGGGCGGTTGGCACGTTGTATTGTGGTTTACAGCTAGGCTCAACACATCTAATTTAAGAAGAAAAAAAACTGTATTAGTCGCCTTTTTAAAGATATTGTTGTTAAGGGACAGTGCATTAATTCATTTTCGCTAAAATGGGGCCCCATAACTCACATGGGTCTTGAGGTTTAATTTCCAGTGACTACAAATCCTAAAAGTCGGCGTCTGTGGCTTAGGCGTTGCTAACGAGCTTTGTAATGCCGGGGTGCGGGGTTCGATCCCAGCTGTGGACCTTGCGCCTTGTATTGGTTTCAACAGTGGTATCGAGAAGCCGACCGTCCAGTAGCAGTGGCAAAATACTGGACGTAAATTTGCCCAGAAAAACCACAACAGCAAAAAAAAAAAAAAAAAAATGCTGGTGTTGGTTCTGCAACGTCCTGTAAAGGATACACAACTAACAATCCTAAATATAAGAATATACAATTCTGGAACTATAGCTATAATTACTGTTTCCAGTATCACTGCATGAGCCAGAATTGTCTTTATACACGCCTAGAAATGTATTCTTCAGAAATTAATTTAGAATTGTTCTCGTGATTTCTGTGTAAACAAGAGAGATTTTGTCTGTCGTCGTGCCAGGGCGTCACTCTGCTACTGTTTTGTGTAAGCAGACGATCGTATTGTCTAAGATATACTGCAGTCTTTAGCTGGTGCCTGTGCATAACAGAAGGAATTAAATGGCATGATAGCATCACGATTGTTAGCCTCCCCCCCCCCCCCTAACTTAGCTCCCACTATATACTACTTTGTGAAATAGCTGAACAAATCACTGTTAATCAAGAGGCGAAGTAAAAACGCTGGCGTTGGATAGGACACACGTTGAGAAAGTCCGAGAACACTATAACTAGAATGTTTTTACATTGGAACACACAAGAACAAAGTAATTTTTAAAATGTAGACAGAAAAGAAAGAAGAAACACCGAGGGATTTGAGAGTGATAATGAAAAGGCTGAGAGGACATGGTATGAGCAGCATTCGATAGCAAAGGACAGGTCGACGATGAGTTGGTTGAGGGTCTCTGCTCCACTGGGGGCATAAAGAGACAGATGAGAAATGAAGATCATGTCTCAACGTCTCGGTCGTGTAGAATGGAAAAACAATTATTTTAAATAATTTTTCATTATTATCGTAAGTTATTCAAAGTGGCATAGGAATTCATACTTTTGCACATCTTGAGATCTTCACAAATTGTATACATTTTCCCACGTTACTATGCCAGTTTTTGTTAATAATATTCTGTCTTTATCTTTACTTATTTTACACACCCTGATGTAATAATGATTTAATTCACTAGTCAAATTGTAATAACTATCCGTCCTTTTCAGGATGAAATTTTTCGTTTTTTGAAGCCCTACTCTGGCTTTTGATAGGGGCCGCAATATAGCCTGGCCATAAATATGGCCTAATTGCTGCACGCGGTTTCTGGGACCTCTCCACGGGTGATCCTCGCCCACATGGTGGCACATTGTGTAATCGGGTGTTTATCGCTTGTGTGATGTCCTGGTGGGGTAGAAAGTCAGTCAGTCAGTGATATTATTTTTGTCTTGTTTTTCATGCCATTTTAAAAAGGGAATAAAATTAAAAGCATACAATTTGAAACTGAACCTTTTTTTGTTTGTCCAAGCATGGAAAGAAAGGCATTGCCTCGTTTAATGGGATTGTCTACCGAAACAATGTTCAAGGAGCGCTGACACAAAGAACAAAATAGGTGGGGAGGGCTCAGACTGCAGATTTATAGGTTTGGAAGGTGGGGGGGGGGCGGGGGGCGGGGGGCATCAAGGGAAAAAGTATTGTTTAAATCTTCAAAATAGTAATAATAATAATAATAATGGTTGAAATGCTATAACAATATTGAAAATAATATGATATGTTTTAATAAAGCTTCCGGTGGCTTTAATAAAATCCTACCCCAAACAGGGGAAATCCACAGGTCACAAGACAGTCTAATATTTCAGGGGGTGGTAGATAGGCTGCATGCAGTCGTGGGACCTAGGCTGCATGTAGTCGTGGGACCTAGGCTGCATGTAGTCGTGAGACCTAGGCTGCATGTAGTCGTGGGACCTAGGCTGCATGTAGTCGTAGGATCTATGCTGCACTCTCTCGTGGGACGTAGGTAGGTTGGGGTTACTGCCAGTTCTAGATGTTTTGGGGTAGTTAAAAGCATCAGAAAGCCAGGAAACCCAGTCTTATCACCCTCTAAAATGTTGGACCGTCCTTTG